AGAAGAGGCACGTGTACTCCTGGGAGTACACGATTGGTCTGAAGAAAAAAGTTTTCGCGTGTTTTTTTGGCAGTACACGCTTATTCTAATGTATGGATAACATTTCTCTATTGTTTGTTTCAGTATATGCATACAATTACTATTCAAAAAGAAAAAATAGCGGAAACGAGCAAAGAGGCGCGCTCCTGGAAAAGCCCGATTCGCCTTGAGAGAAAAGTTTTTGAATGTTTTTCGGGTGTACACGCCTCTTTTAATGTGTCTATATTAATTCTCTATTGTTTGATTAATTGTTTATATCCGATTCTAGCTGAAAAATGAAAAAAAAATTCAAAAAACGAGCGAATAGGCGCGTGTACTCCCGGGAGTACACGATTCGCCGAAAGCGGAGTTTTTTCGTGTACTCCCGGGAGTACACGCCGCCGCGAACGTGCTTCGATGGCGATCCCATTCGATGGCCCTGTACAAGACGATCCAATGGTATATGAAAACTCTACTTTCATTCAATTTTTCGACGTTTCTCCAAGGAAATTGAGGTTTGAGTCTCCAGTAACCTAAGGTGTTACCTGCGGACACGGCTGCGTCGTAACCCTCCAGTCCAATTATGAACTTCAAACCAAGTGCCACAAAGCCGTAAATACCAGCATATTCAGAAAGAGCATGATTCCGTGATCATTTTGATACTTTTCATGACAGGGTTTCAGCAAGGTTCAGCTGAAAATCATGGTTCACTGACCACTCTTTCCTTGATTTCCGGTTTGAATCGGCTTGAGGAACAGTATCTGACTTATGGCTACGATCCTCGAAAACTCACATTGGCTCCATAGACCACCACGAGGTAGCACCTTAGGTTATTGGAGACTCAAACCTCAATTTCCTTGGGGGGAACGTCAAAAAATTGAAGGAAAGTGGAAGGTCCATACATCATTGGATTCGTCTTGTACAGGACTATCGAGTGGTCTGAATTTCAGATCATTCGGTCCACTTCAGTAATGGCAAAACGACGGTTTGCGACGAAAAAATCTGTTGCAAAGTAAAACAACAAAAGAGGAAAGCAGTGCAAACTTTGAAGCAAAGCTGCTAAAAAGGAAGTTTTGGACTTAGCGCTGCGTGTGTGATGATTGCCAAGAGAGAGAAACGAAAGTAGCTTGCAGCCAATAGCTGCTTCCTTCTACAGCATGAGTTCTACTTCAATGGTTCACACGTTGTAGCGCTGCGTATGTAATGATTGCTAAAAGTGAAAGTAGCTGTGAACATTTACTGAACACTAATTTTTGAACGAACAAATCTGTTTTACAGTTATCGCTATGCTCCAGACATTTCACATATCACGCACGCTTCTCTTTCTGAGTAGGTTCGACAACTGCTTAGAGGAGGCTTCTTGGGTAACCACCATTCCGGTGTTGATTTTAGCAGGGTCTCATTTGGGTGTTTATTTATTTATTTATTTATTTATGCGAGCGCCCAGGTGACGAAGCAACTGAACAAAACTCAAGATTAATCAGAAAAACAAATAAAAAAGCAAATCAATGAAAGGAAAAGAAAGATTAAATAAAAACTACTAGAACTGTATGGCGAAAGCATGCGAGAAACATGCGAGGAACAAAAAGATGCTGAAACCGTGGAGATGAACAGAAAAAAAGGAAATCTTGTAGAAACTGTCGAATAAGAAAAAGCCTTGTTGGTCAAGGTAGCGACTAAGAAATGAGGAGCAGCAACGAAGTGATCAGTCTGAACAGGAGTCTGCCGTCACAAGAAAGTGTAGGCAGTAGCGTAGTGAGCCGTCTAAACAGGGTCTGGCGACACTAGAGAATGAGTCCATGTGGTACGGCGGCTAGAGATGGACTAGGAGCTAGCGAAGCTACAACCACCTACACCAACTGGCCAGGTGCCCTTAGCGCCACATCAGGGGTCATGGGAGTTTGCCGGCACTTCGAAACACGAGTATGCCAGCTGACCTCGTGGAACCGACAAACCAAGTAGAAGTAGCTATCACAGCTGAATGCCCAGACTCTCGCACGAGAGCACCACTGTAAGACAATTTAAGGTAACAATCCGGAAAAAGTTCTAAACGCAGAGAGAACGACGTGGTGGCGGCAGCAGGAGAGAGAACCAAAAAAAGTCAGCTCCTCCAGTTACGCACGCGTCTGACCACCAGACCGAAAACACAGATATCACGAGGAAGTACTCAATCATTACCATTGCAGGGACCTACCCTTTACCCCACGTCATCAAGACATAAGTGCTCTAAGAGATTACAATTCATAAGTTGTCTCTTGAAATGTACCGAATCTCTACAATCGAAGAACGTAGAAGGTAGATGCGACAGCCAACGAGTTGTGCGCGGAATGAAGCTGTTATGCCTGAGCTGCCTGCGGTGTTTTACCAATCTTGTGCCCGTACATTTGAAAACAACCGCGACGTCCATTCGTAGGGCGAAAAATCCAAAATCTCGACGGGCGGAGACGAAGTTCACCTTTAAGTAACTTGAAAGCAAAAAACTAAAGTCAGCAACAATCCTCCTATGGAAAAGACTCTTCAAATTCAATTCGCGAAGACGAACCTGATAGGGTGGTAACGATTCCGGATAACCAGAGTCAGGAAAGACCTTATAATACAAAATTCTAGTGAATGTCTTTTGCACTGATTCGAGCTTTCGAATGTCTTTCACAAGAAATGGGTTCCAAACCGGGCTACAATACTCCACGATGGGGAGTATATACGATTTGTAGAGTCTTATCCATAGTTTAAGCTCAGTGCAATGAATATTTCTGAATAAAAGGTAGACCACCATGGTGCTTGGTACTAATTTCTTGACCAACGTGTTCGGCCTTCCAACTCAACTCTCGAAAAGTATTGATTCCTAGTCTTTACAACCGCGCTCGCACTGGCGGCAAAGGGGCTTGTTCGAGGAAAGACAATATCTAGCGCCTTAGTTCCTAGGGAAAACAGCGCCGTTTTATTGTAGTTTATTTCGAGACCCCAGCACTCCGCCCACGTGAGCATTTTTTCAACGACTTTGTTCAGAGCTAGCTGTGCCTCAGATCTGCCGAGCTCCTCATAAGTTATCGCCACTTTCACATCGTCAGCAAAACAAGCCACGGATATTTTGCTGTCACTTTTGAGGAAATTGGGCAGATCGTACGTGTAAATGAGGAAGAGGAGAGGTGACAGGATGCCCCCCTGGGGGACCCCAGAGGTGCATTCTCTCACTGTTGATAGGCTACCTCCAAAGCGGACATTCATCTTCCAGCCATCTAGGATAAGACTCGAACCATTTCAAAGCCATATTTCTAACTCCAATGGACTCAAGCTTTGCCAGTAACTTGGAATGGCATACCTTGTCAAACGCTTTACTCATATCAAAATAAACAACATCTACATTTTTTCCACTGTTGAGGGCTTCCGTCCAAGAGTGCGTACAGTCTATGAGTTGCGTACACCGTGGAAGGAAGCCGTGCTGTTCAGTGGGGATCAGCTGAAGTTTCGAAACCCAATGCAAAAGCTTTTCTTTCACTATCTTCTCCATTATTTTCAGCGGGGTCGGTAAGATACTTATAGGTCTAAAATTCGATATGAGATTGGAATTGCTAACTTTTGGCAGGGGTGTAACGAACGAATTTTTCCAAACGCTAGGAACTTCACCAAGAAGGAGACAAATATTGAGTATATGAGCAAGGGGGATAGCCAGATAATCGGAGAACTCTTTGTAGAACACTTGGGGTACCATCGGCTGTGGGAGACATGGACCGTTTCAAAGAGCGGAAGATGTTTGAGCACTACGTGGGGAGAAACTATTGGCATTTCAAAGCATTCGTTAGAGACTGATGATGGCAATGATTGTATACCACTGCTTGCCTTTCCAAAAACACTGGCAAAGTAGTCCGCGATAGCTTCCGCTTTGGAAGCATCAGTTGAATACTTGCGCCCATCGGAGTCTACCAGGATATGAGACCGACTTTTTTAATAAACTCGTAAAGCTTCTTCATATGGTTACTTTGAGCCATTTTCCTTACTTTGTATGCCAGAAAACGCTTCAAATGAAAGTCAAGTTTACGCGAAACCTCAATAAAAAGCGGATTCATAGAAGGCCGTTTAAAAGAATGGAACAGCCTTTCACGTTGTTCGAAAAGATTAACGATATGTTTGGGGTAACGACTGGATGCGCATTTCTCGAAATATTTAATGGGCACGTGCCGAGAAATAATGTTGTGAATGACACTGGCGAAACGGTTATATGCATCATCAGCATCAGCGTAGAAATTTAAAACTTCTAACCAGTCAATGTCAGAAAGGGCTTGCCTAATTTTCCCTTTATCGGCATGCAAGAAATCAATGAAGCGTGTCAATTTGTTTTGAAAGCCGCATTCGGATATATTAAATGAAATCATGTCATGGTCTGAGCTCCCAAAAGGTGCACGAGCTGAAATATCTGAGATGAAATTGCCGTCTGCCAAAATGATGTCAAGAATTTTATTTCCTCTAGTGGGAAATGTTACTAGTTGCTCCAAAGAAAGACTTTCAAAAGCACTAAGAAACTTTTGTGCTTCGGAGTTGAGCGCCACATGTGAACACCAGTCAATATTTAGGTTCAGATCCCCCAGAATGGTCACATGATGCGGAGAGGTCGAAACTAGGTCAGAAATCACTGTAACTAGCTGTTCATCTTGAGACAGGGTAGACTGTGGGGGGCGATATATGAGGAGAAACCTATGATTACGAGAGGATGGCAAAAAAACATCAAAGCAGAGAACATCGGCGCTAAGAACCTTACAATCGAACTTGACTTCATCATAAAGGAAAAAGTTGTGCAGGAGCGCACATACTCCTCCCCCGGTCTTCCCAACTCTATCTTTGCGAACTACTGAGTATGGGAAGACCGAGCAGAGTTCAGAATCAGCAATTTTGCTAGTTAGCCAGGTCTCGGTGATAAAAATAATGCCAGGTTTAGTATTTCAATGAGACAGTGGAGGTCATGAATCTTGTTCTTCAAGCTACGAGCGTTAAACAAGAAACAGGAAAAAAAAACTCGTACGCGAATACACTAGTTTTTTGACAACGAAGGAGCATTGCTTCCCCTTTTGGCTAAATTTGGAATATCCTTAGTCTTCACAAGTTCACCTCTGTAAATTACATAGACTCGCTCACCTTCTTTCCTGTTAAGTTCACGTGCTCTCTCCCGTAATTCGCGATCTTTCTTGCGCTCATCAATAGTCATTGATTTTCTAATATATACATCCCTATATTCGTGCGTCGAGCGCAACCTATGTGCCTTAGACAAAATGTCAAAGGAAATACGTCTAGAATAAAAAACGCATTTAACAAGACGAGGCTTTCCCTCAACACCACGACCCATCCGATACACTTCGGCGGGACGGGTCTCGATGTTGAGGGAATCAAGTATCCCGGTGACACAAGTATGCCGGTGACAACCTTCTCCTGTGTTGCCTGACGCAGCTAGGACGGCGAGATAAGATCTGCCCGCCGGCTTCCTGGGATCAGCTCAGGCACATTAAAAACGACGTGATCTAAGCCTCTTACTTAACCTATCCACAGCCTCATTGATAATTAATGGTAACCTACCCAAAAACTGGTCCAACAGCTGGATAACCTCGGGCGCTTTTACAGAAAGAATACCATGAATTTTATTCAGTAATCGTGATGGCAGATCTCGTCGTTTATATGACGTGGGGGATTGTTGGGTTCAAGGGTCGAGAGGCGAAGTTGAGCCCAATCCGCTTCTCGGGTGGGCATAAGGGTGACATCGCGATATTGATTTAGCGAGCCGCTCACGGTGCAACGCGCGGCGAATGATAAAAGCTACAATATTAAGAAGGTAATAAAAGCTACGATCCTCAATCTTGTCAGAGAGATTCCGGAAAGGCGATTTGTGAAGGCTTCGAGCACTTCTCAAAATGTTAAAAACAAGCAAGAAACTTCCGCTAGAGAGGCTGACTATTAGGCCATTGAACACCCCTTCAAGGCCTACCGACCCCTTCACCGGCTGCTAGCTACTAGCTAGTAGCCACTATGTTATCTTTCTCTATAACATTTCGGACTGCTTTTTCTGCTGCTTTTCTCCGCTAATCAGATACTTAGCACTTTTTGTGCCTATTTGAGTTCCGTTTCCCGCAACTTGCGGAACGCGAACTGTGCCTTTAAGCAAGCTCAACATATTGACTAGAAGGTTTTCTTGAAGGGAATTGTTGTATCTACAAAATACCAATTTAGACATGAACAACATGAATATACACAGTGTCTGTGATTCCTGTTAGTGCCATATGAAAACTCGTAAAGACTAATTGACAGGACGTTGAAGTAAAGATGAAGTCGTTGGGAACGTCGACACATTCTTTACGTATAAAAGTTGTCCGGTACGCAATGTTGGAAGTTACCCCTTTTTCGCGGTGAAATAGAAGGGCTTCGTCGCCCCATCAGCCTAAGGAATCCCACTCGTAAACGTGATCGTCCTGCCTGCCTAACCTGTCCTTTACCCAAATCACAGAATCACATTACAAAGTCAGTATTAGTGATGGAACCTGTGATATCCTCGCGCTGTTCATACTAACTCTTTCAGGTGAGTACGTTTCGAAAAATCCATTAGTGTAGTGAACAGGATGAGCTTCTTCAAAATGTGTACATAAGGCTGCATTTAGCAGAGAAGGGTTCAGCTATTATTTTCTTGTAGTATCATTCAAAGCGCTTAAATTAATTAAGAAACCACATATTCCAGCAACGCAAGCAACAATATTCGCACGCTTTTTCTCTGCGCCCTCCTTCACTCTCGCTGCGAGCCCCGCCCATTGGACAGAACGCTTATAAAAGGGCGCACTTTGTTAGCTCGTTGTTGCGTATTCGTCGCACCAGATATCGAAAGCAAATCGACCGACCAGCAAATCACTGGACGTTGAATGGTACGCGGTCCGCGGAAGCCTCTTGCCGATCGTAGTCGAGTTTTCAGGTCGAAGGGAATTTCTTCCTTTAGTGCGAATTGTAACTAAGTATGCGCTGACTTTCTAACTAGAGGAACTGTTCTGTTCAAGAGCGAGCTGAAGTAAACTTTCGACTCGAAAATGAATTGGTCTTCATTCCCGAATAGCTGAAACCACTATTGCATCGTTACACCCTGCTACTGAATATTATCGTCGCCCTAACAGAAGGTCAAAAGAAGAAATCGTGTCGGAGTTCTGAATTTACGAGCCGAAAGAAAATCGCT